AGTGGAGAAAAGGTACGAATTGAGATTGAGATTATGACCAGGGCACTACAGAATTAATCATAATTTCTTTAAATCTGTTTTGTTTTTCTCAGATAGTAAGCTAATAAGAATATTCTATAGAACATCGTATAAATAATGACATAATTTAGTAATGGACTGTGGTTGTTAATGAAAATTGTTTTTTCACTGCTTAAAGTTAACTTCTACCGTTAGATCAAATGATTCCCTTGTGATAACTCGAATACGCTTTCTATCTTTAGTATTAAATTATTAATAGCTTAGCTTCTTCTTTAGACAGCAGCATTACACAATCAACTTCAACTACTTACAGTGGAACACATACCAGAGCATCAACTGGTAAGAATATACAAATATTTCAGATTCAGTCAATGCCAATGAAATATTCTGATTTGTATCCCATGGGGGATTTCGGCCCTGTATTCGTCTAATTATGTAATCACTTGGCAGATGTGGTATGTGGTTCGGAAAGCTAGTAAATTATTTATTCTGATTTAACCTGATTTATTCTGTATTAATAAATAGTAATAGCTTCGCTTGTTCTTCAGTTATAACTACACCTACTTCTACTAAAACCACATCGATTCAAACTAAAACCACACCGATTCAAACTAAAACCACATCGATTCAAACTAAAACCACATCGATTCAAACTAAAACCACATCGATTCAAACTGAAACCACATCGATTCAAACTACTTCCCAGTCTACAAGCACCACACCATTTAATAGTAAGAACCTTACTAATCATTAAACAACAGATCATAATATTCCAGTTTACCATATTGTATAAGATTGCTTTCAATAAATAATATTTGCTATCGCATTTCTGTTTAAACAAGTCTTATATCTGTACGAAAATAAAAGTTATGCAGTTAACGAGTTAAGATGCTGTTATCTCCCGATAACTTTACAGATGACAGATTAACTAATTGAATTGGTCATTTTCATTTTCATTTGTAGGTACAACTTTTGTGACTAGTTCTACAGAAACGAGTAAGATCTTTATTCACAATGTTCAGATAACAAGACACACAAAAACCACAATCTTAGTTCCTATATAGAACATTTAAATTTTACTATACTCTCTAAATAGTCCTAATGAATGTATTTAAACATAAAAGTAAATATTTAATGAATTGCTATGTAGTATTTCATTTATATTTTCAAATACTGTGAGTACTAACTTATATGTATTATTTATATATATCATTTATCATATTACTAGGGCAAGACGATGGTGGTGCTAGTGATGTGGGTAAGTTGAATCGTAAACACGAGTCTACAGGTGGTCCCTCTTAAACGTATGAAATTAGCTGTTAGTGGTAGTAGCCGCTGCGATGAGGTTGAAAACATTATTTGTCTTTAGCGGGATGATAATAACATGTATCCTATGAATTTTTAATTCAGTACTTACCAGAACTGTGATGTTGATATTTTAGGATCTATAGTTGGAGGAATATTTGGTGCTATTATTATTATAGTTATTATTATAGTAGTGGTACTGTTTCTGAATAAAAGGTGAGATTATTTTTCAAACCCACCATATTCAATTGCAATGCATATAACGACCTTTCCAAAAGGCTGATACTTAAAAATCAAAACAGAAAGATATTGAAATGTATTTATGCCTGGTTGCCTTCCGGATATGTAACGTACTGTACTTGAAAACAATTTCATCAAAAAAGCAAAAAGGGAAAGAAAAAAAAGTCAATTTAACTCTCTTTACAGAAGGCAAAAGTCACAGACATCACCACCAGCAGATAAAACAATGACTATACAAACTGTTACACCACAATATGATGTTATTGATGGTCCTGGAACAATTAATAATCGTAAAGATACCAGTGGATATGATGAAATAGAACTGGACAATAAACCAAGAGTACAAGCCACTGCTGCACATCTAAAACCCACTACAATAAACAACCGTAATGGTGAAATGGAATTTGGTCAAAAACCAAAAATCCAAACAACTGATAATTATGATCATGTCGGGGATGATAAACTGAAAGTAAAATCTCCAAAAGATCTTGATAACTATAATCATATCGGAACTTACAATCATTCTGTACATGAAGATAACTACAATCATATCGGAAACAATTTGTCTCTAAGATCTAATCATCTTGATGCAGATTATAACCATATTAACGGAGTGTTTGGTAATTCCAATGGTGAAGATGATTACAATCATATTGGTGATAATGATAACAATGTGATAACAGATGATAATTATCATATCGGATCGGGGGACATCAAGGTAGAAGGAGACTATGATCATATC